AGAGAGAGAGAGAGAGAGAGAGAGCAACGTCCTAAAGATAGGAAAATTAGAATCAAAACGGAAACAGAAAGAAAACGAAAGTTAGTTAATGCTAGATAAATAAATAAAACTTATTGCTTTTCTTAATTTTCTTCGTTTTTTTGTATTTATTTATTATGCTATATATATATATATCTTGGTAGCAGGCTTGGTTCGTAAATCCGAACTATGCATACTGTACTAATATTTAGGGGTCGGCAACTGTAAGGGAGTTGCAGCTTACAACTTATCATGATTTTAACATTTAAAATGAAGAGTTCCCTAATTACCTTATTGGCAAGATTTCGTTTAAACGTATATGACAGTGAAAACAATGTTTGTTAGTTGATTTGGGCATTTTGCATGTATATACGGATTCTTCTTGTAAAAATACTCTAGTATGCAACAGTTATATGCAAATATCATAAATTTACGGAATGTTACAGTTAAAGTTGAAAATGGGTTTGCCTGCAAAATTATACAGTAAATGAACGTTCAACTGCATATTTTTTGAAAGTGCAATAATAATTATTTGGCATGGAGGCACAGATGCAATAATGTGCTGTACAAGCTATACAGAGAGGCAGATAATATTAACTACGTTAAAGTAAACTGTATTAAATTTGCTGCATTCATCTGCAGAATGAGCCTTAACACAGAGTGTGCTAGTTTAAATCAGTTAGCATCAAATAGAGACAGGCGTTGACAATAGGCTGATTAGATTGATAATAACTTTAAAAGACCCGGAACTTTCAATTGGTACATCCTGTCAAAGAAGAGAACAGAATGAAAGGAAATTCTAAAAGGGAAAAAAAAAAAGAATCTAGGCCTTTTAATAAATGTAAACTAAGGATAGAAGTGTCACCAAGTGTTAATCAGTAGGTCGCTATTATCAAATTTTGTACTATATGCTTTAAAGCATGATCTACTCTTTAGTTCTCTGTAGATAAAATTATTGAAGGTAATGGTGAATAGCCACCCGGGAGACTGAGGGGGTAGTGATCAGTGAAAATCCCACCCTCTGATGGGTTTTTAAATAATTTTCTATCTAAATAATATTAGCTCTATAAGGTTGAACTTATTCTCCCTTTTTATTTTGTTTGAACATAAATATCATTTTGAAAAATATTTAACTTCAAAAAAATTCTGAAAGTAAATAATAGATAATAAATGTTACTAACCTGAACATTATATCCGTTATATGTTTTCTTCGCTGCAAACAATATCTTCTACGTACACCTCTTCGCTGAACTTGCTTTCAATTTAAAAGAAGGGCAATATCATTATTTTATTCAAGGCCATATCAAAGTCCTCATTCTTATAATGTTATGAAACAAAAAGATCTTTTTACACTATGATTATATTATCACTACTCAGTGCATTGGACTGATATCTCCTGCAAATGTAATCTCAGAGTGAAAAAAAAAACAAAGAGTTTTCAAAACACCCACACCTGACATAAATTAGTTTTTGAATTTATTTAAGATCCTAACTGTGATTTATATTATTTAGAAATTTGTATCGAACGCTTTTGTTTTATTAAACTAATGGCTTTTTTTTATATTTATGTTTCACTATAGATCATTTTTCAAAAGGAGAGAACAATAACGTTACTCCTTCTCCTTCAGTAGCAGGACTGGACTGGCCTGGCCGTTAATTTACAAACCAGCGTCCTTTAACGACTCGTTCTCTTCTTTAGGGATTTTTCTCTCCGCAGTAGTTATTCGCAATTGAAATGCAAACTTTTTTTTTTTTTTTTTAATTGTTACTTGAACTAAAAGGAAGGTAAGAATCAAGTTTTTTAAAAAAAAAAAATTTCCTTTCAAAGAAAATGCCAAACAGAAGAGCGTAGAGTTAAAAAACGCGACGTGGACTAAAAAACACAAAAATCGCGACGAGGTCTCCTCATTATGTTTTCACCAGACACCTCTACATTTGACGACTCAAACAAAACAAAATTGCGAAAAAATACATGTCAATATTAATACCAAAAAAATATTTTAGCATTTACATTAATGTTAATGAATGTAATTGTTTACCTCCCTTTTCTTCCGTCTATAACAAGAGCAAAATTTATATTTTTAAAATAAAATAAATTAACAAACAACTAAAACAAAAATAAATCTGAGTCGGCGATTGAAAAGAAATAAGGACATGACTTGTCACTTTAATTCTTTTTTACAGCTACACTGATAAAAAGATATTGAAGAAAGGACCCTTGTTTACATTGAAAGAGTAAGCGATAAAGAATCAAGTGTAAAATTCTTTTCATGTCTTGAAAATTCGTTTATTTTTGGTTCAGAGTCATCTATACATTCAAGTTACAAAGATATAAACTTGTGTTTTAATTTAGTTTAAGATGTATAAAATATTACTCATTCTTGAAGTTTCGGAAAAAAGTTGAAATAACCAAAGTGGCTTAATAAAATAGCAAAAATAGAAAAAAATTATTAATAATACATTTTTATTTATTAAAATCTAGAACTATAATGAAATTTCATAAATGTATTAGAAGATTAGTTTTGAAGAAAGTATTGTTAACAAATATATTGAGAAAAATAAACGATCAAACGCTATCAGCATATTTTGTGTTTAATAATGATTTTCTCTCTATAATCTATGCTAAAACTATTACTTAATATACTTCTTAGAATGCTTTCTAAAAATAGAAACCAAAAGGCAAACACATTAGGGGTCGGTGGTCAAAAATGCCCCGTGGACAACGAATTTCACAAATCCTACGTCCGCGCGGGTGGCCATTTTCTCGTTAATGTTCGTGATACATTTTCAATTTTTGATATCTTACAAGAGTCTAGCGCCTCACTTGTAAAATGACCCTTGAATGGAATTGATGTTTTCTCTGTCTGGGAGTACTGCAGCGGTAGAAATGGACTTTTCAGCAATGAACTTACAAAATGACACATTACGTGCAGGTCTTAAACAACAAGCGTTAAACGCAATTATGAACATCTGCCTAAATGGATTTCTGTGCGGAAACCTCTGTAAATCATTGACTCGATTGTGGAACTGGCAAACATCAAATTTGATTCATTTAAAAATCGCAGAACCCTCGGATAAATTGACATTCCAGATAACTTGACCTATGTCATTTAAATTATTTCATAAAAGAAATACTAGGTTACTATTAGTATTAGTATAACCTAGTATTTTTTTTATTACTGTATAATGTAATCCTAGTAACTACTAATTCATTGTGAAATTTATATAAATGTTTGTAATAAATAAGAAAAAATTATATTTTTATTTATTTAGAAGCTACTAGTTAGTTTCAAAGGAGGACGGGTATATTGTTGGACTAGCAATCCACGGAAACGGGTAAAATTGTTGAGTTTTTTCGAACCCTGGACAATCCGTTCAATCATTTGTGAGAAAGGTAGGACGAACGAAACAACATAAAAATCAATGTGATTGCTTTATGAAATTTAGAAGCGCTTCTAATAATTGTCTTTCTACTCTTCGATGTTTGCTTTTGCTCTAGCAATTAAATAGGCATCGATCTTTTGAGTTCAGTTTTGTCTGTAGTTATTCTTTAGATTTCGATACAGGTATTTGTTTTTTATTCCAGATTAAAAAATAGTTTGTTATCTCACTAATTGTAAAATTTTTTTATTTTATTTTTGACAAGGATTCCAAATCTAACCTGTTGCAACCCGTTTTAGAAAAAAAAAGTTCCTCCAAGTTTAAAGGGTTTGTAAGAATCAGATACTTAATTATTACGGCGCCGTATTCGAACCAAGTGTTCTTTCTTCCAAAAAGATACTAACGTTTTGAGAAACCGCTATTATTCTTTATAAACTATGGCCGCACATACTCTGTTCAATTAAAATACATATTAAGGAGGAACATTTGAATAACACACTCTAAATATCGTTATCTGTTTTGGTTTTTTCCTTTTTCGTTATTGTTAATTTTACACTTTTCCTTTCCCTTTAGATATCTCACAAAACATTTCTGACTAACGATACCGGTACAAATGACCCAGTGAGCAAATTTGTATATTTTATCACTGTTTTTTCTCATGAAAATCCCTCTATTTCATTTATTATCTCTATTTTATATTTAAGAAAATTTAATTTATTTTTTATTAAACATTAATAGTATCTGTTTTTTGTTTAAACACATTAAATAAATCTTTTTATTAATTTACTCAAATAACACTATTTTCTTTGCATTTCACACTATATATAATATATGGTATAAATTATAGTACACAAGTTTAACTTAATGTCAGAAAAAGAGCCTTCTGTTAACGATATCAAAATTTAATGTCAACAACTTCTTCCTCTTAAGTAAACATGATGTTTAGTTCACCCACCGCTAGAAGTCGATTAACTTTGGGAGAGTCCGCCTTGATAAAAGTGTCCTTTGTAAACGATCATTGGTTCGAAGTTTTTTTTCATAATTCGCAGATCTTCCTTTAGTATCTGCTTGTTGATTCGTAAACTTAACCTTACGAAAAAACAAACCTACTTGGATTAATGGATTGAAATATTTTCGGCCTTCAATCCTTTCTAATGGTGAACAGATTGTAAACGGTGTTCGAAGAGTATGAAAACAGTAAAATATTTTAAAGAAATCGGTTGAAAAAATTTGAAAGCAAACACACATTATATTTTCAAAAGATTATTAATTGACTTGGTAACCCAACATCTTTTCCTTGGAAATGGTATAAAGGCGACTTCCTAATTTAAAATCGGAAGCCCATTTCTTTTAACAATAAATTTGAATTCTCCAGAAGAAATACCCCAAACTGGTTTGCAAGTTTTTGCATTTTGGTTCGATTACTGCACCATAATAATATAGTATCAGATGCGTACACACCCTTTAAACTTGACATGTATATACTGAATCAAAAAAAAGTAAACGAGACGTGCTTAATATTTTAAAAAACCTATACTATGACACCAATACCAAAATACCTAAAACTCGCTTACAATTTTTTTTGCATTTTGGTTCGAAGATGGCGCCGTAATGATAAAGCATCAGAGATTTCCAAATCCTTTAAACTTGAAATATATATGATAAATCGAATAAAGTAAAGGAGATGTGTTTAAAATTTTAAAAACCCTATACTATGACACCAAGCTGAAATTCTCAGCCTCAGGAAGTAGGATAGTTGTCCAATTGCATTTTTGAAACCATGTAAATAAAGAATTATAAACTGAAGAATAATAACAATTTACGATATTTGAATAATTTATATGGAAGTAATTCATAATTTGACACGTTACGTATTAAGCCTTACACTTGCTATATATATTTTTAATACAATAACAGTCATCTTCTTTTGTATAATTCTGTAGAGGCACAATTTAATTTCAATAATTATCTAATAAATTAACAGTATTTATTCCTTTAAGAATTTCAACAGGGTGTCAAGATAAAGCTGTGGCTCTTCAGTATGTACGTCATGAGTTGTACCTTTAATGCTGATAAACTGGGCATTTGGAAAAAACTTCTTAATATTTTCTGCATCTTGTTTCCTAAAAAATAAAAAGTTACATTTTAAAATTCAAATAAAGTTTTAAAAAAAGTACTAATACTTTAGGTCTGTGTTTCCCAATTGTATTCGGCTATGAAACCCTGAATAGGGAACTTTTTTTGCGTGAAACCTGAAAGCTCATTAGTAATTGTAAATATAAAATTAATTTAAAAAAAAAACTGATTAATGTTTAGTTGTTGAAATGGGAACAAAAAAAAGCTGTTGTAAATGATGAGGAGGGTTATCAAGGAAGCATATTTCCTATTCCATTTCTGGCAAATCCGTGGATAAAATTCTTTGATGAAAATTTCTTTATTAATTTATACAATTTTCCATGTGCAAATCCATTTCGGGCAAATTCGTGGCTAAAATTATCTACTAAAATTTTTTCTTTGTTAATTTTTCCATGTGCAAATCCATTTCGGGCAAATCCGTGTTNTATTCAAATACAATTACTAAATTAATAACTATTATATACGTAATAAATAACTAATTTGTTAGTAAAAATCATAATTTAATTTAAAATGATGTCAGCCGTAGATTTCTGGATCTTTGTTTTTAATTTATTCAGCATCTTATCATATGATTTTTCTGGCCAATAAGAATGCAATGGCAACGATGAGAATGTCTTACGATCTTAATTTTTTTTATGTCATATAGAATTACTTTGTAAAGTTTTGTGTCTAAAAATATTTTTTTATCAAAAATATATCCTTCCATCTAGCTAAAGGAACATTAAAAGGAAAAAATATTACATTTGTGATATAACGTTCACAATAACTTTCGGTTCAAAGTGGAAAACATGGATTTCTGTAGATGAAGAATAGTATTTATATATATATATATATATATATATTCTTTTTTCTCTGGATATATTTTAATTTTATAAAAAGAATAAACATGTAAATTTCTGGTTTCGAAAACTATTATGGGTCAAAAATCATTAACTTTCAGAGAAATATAGAATCTTTCTACTGATTTCTAGGGTTCCACGAGACACTTATTGGGAACCGCTGCTTTAGATAGGAAATTTCATTTGCAATGAGTTAATATTTAAGGTAATATCACTATAGATATTGCTCAGATCATGAGACAACTGATATTCTTATTGTCACGGAGCATGAAGCTCCAATAAACCTAGCCAGTCTGAAGAAATTTTACTTGGGAAATTCCAGTAATACAAACATGAAAATAAGTTAAATATACACTATGAAAAATTCATCATCGAAATACTGTATTAGCGGCACTTTGGGTGAATTATGCTTAAAATCTATTTAACCGTAAAGTCCATTTTTATCATAAAATCTATTTTTACCGTAAAATACTATACTGTAATTTTTACAGTAATATTTATTTAATTCCAGTCATTCAGTGATTTTACGAAAATTATTGCTAAAAAAGTACTGTTTATCAGATTTTTCGTTCCGTAACATGTGCCGGTAAAAGGGATTTTATGGTATAACGTACCGGCATCCTGAGTGCCGGTATTTCAATGAATCATGATTTCAAAAGATCTACTAAAGGAAATTTCTCTTACACTGGAAACATAAATTTCTGTCTGCAAGTGAAACATGTAGGCTCAACGTAGACACCTTCACCCTCTAATTTTAGAAAATCATAATTTCAAAGAAACTATTCATAGGAAATTTGACTTACACTGGAAACATAGATTTCTCTCCGCAAATGAAACACGTAGGCCCTTTATAGACTCCTTCATACTCTGACACAAGAGTATCTTCACTTTCTAAAGTTTTGCTTATTCCTTTGAAATTTGCTCTAAAATTAACACTACCATCAGGATTTTGCTTCATGAATTGTTTGAAATGCTCGTCTGATCTTTTAATTAAAGGTTTCTGGAAGAAAAAAAACATAATAAAAATACCCAATTGCCTCATTGTTATTTCATTTTAAAAAAATCATTCATTTTAAAAGTGCCGGCAGGCGAGAATTGTTGATTATGGTAATTTTTGTCGATCAAGAAATGACCTCGAGCAATAATATACGGACACATATATCACCCAACCATGACCAAGAACCTAGTCCCATTTTAGAGTTCTATCTTTTAACAGCCATGTTAGGAATACCATGTTAATTTGACCCAGGTCAGATTATGTGGACAAAGCCAGAGCTCGCACCCTTCACCCCGAACTTTCACACTACAACCAACGAGAAAACTTTCTGTCATGGTAGAGTTAACGGCACCTTGCTGCTTACGCTGGCTGTTTTGTCGGTTGTCTAGATAAAACTCATTACCCCTAGCTCTTCAACCAGAAGTGTTGGCGAATCAGTGTGGTCAACTGCTCCACAGGAGCACTAGCATTATGCCCAATGATATTGAATAAAGTTTATCTTTATTTTGATGAGATGAACTTTTACAAACGTGTTTTGCTTAATCTAATAACAAAAAATCACCAGGAAGGGCAGCAGGTAATAGAAAAAATATTGATACTGTCTTGACTTACATAAATGTGTTGGCATATGCCTTCCGGTTTTCTTGCATTTCGTAGCGTTGATTAATATCGATATTATGAATATTTATTTTTTTCACTCCGTTCAAAGATTATTATTTAATTTTAAATATATTTAATTTTTTTAAAAAAATTGATTTTTCTTCAGCTAGCGTAAATATAGCAGATCATAAATGCAGTTAATCATAGCAATATTTGGGAATGAGCTTTCTGGTAGAAGTTGCAGTTTTTTATCTTTCTTACGAAAACAACGGTATTTAGTTACCTTGAAAAAAACTTCACTTGATACAACTTCATGATTAATTCTCTACAATTGAACAACTGAACCTTTAACATAAGTAACAACGACAGTATTCTAACATTGAAACCATAACTCTCAGACAAACATGTAATTGAGGAATAAGGTAGTAGGTTACTAAGTAGTACTTTCTTTCTTTTTGTCTGTTCTGTTGTTTCTGAATCATTTTACTAGCAATATTTTTCAATTTTAAATAGTAATCATAATATCAACGATCTTTTTAAATGAAATGTTATGCTGATCCAAGTAGAAAAAAAAAGCTCTCCGGGGGCTCAGTTTATGCGTCATTCATCACTCTTTAGCAAAGTTCGATTCTGGAAGTCAACTGTACAACCGACGTAATTTCACAGTTAAATCTATCAGGATCACACAGTCCTTAAAGTCCCCATAATAATCAACTGGTTGGTACTGAACTGGTGATTGATCATTCTCTGGTACAGGTCAAAATTATGATCCGTGGGTGAAGGAATAGAGTATGAATTTGTCCTTCCGATAAAACAGACCGTAACGTGTGTAGCAGAAATGGTATTCTCGGCAATAGATGGCACCACTGACATACAAGAAACGCATCGATCTGCCTTAAATTTGCTTGCTTTCCCATAGCATCCTTGCCAGCATTTGGCAAGAGGCAAGATAAATATTAATAACTATGGTCGTGAAAAGATTACATCCTATAAAATCTAGACTCATGAAATAGTGCTGAAAAAGGAGTCTTGCCCTAACCGGGTAATATTAGGTCGAAAGATAAAATGTTAGCTTACTTTAATAAATTAGTAGTTCGATTGAGGTATGTTAGTTGAATAAAATAATAATAACTTACTATTTCATCAGGAATTCGTTCATACACAAAATCAAAGAACTTCGAAGTGTCTTTATTCGTAGAACCTGCTTGCATGTTCGAAAGTGCTTCTTGGAACAATGAAAAAATCAACTTTATAAAGCCATAAACGTCTTTAGGAATTACAATACCTATATCCTCGATAATTACTTTATGCACTTTGGAAGGCTGCAAAAATAATTAGAAAGTTGTGAATAAAATTAACATCTTTGTTATTTAAATAATTAACTAAAAGTGGTACAAAAGATCAAGACATATATAGAGAGAGATTTCTTGTACTCTGCATATAAATCTGCGCGGAGCAGTTACGGTAGTTTATATAATGCAAAAAAAAAAAAAAAAAAAAAACAGCTGGCTAATTTCTGGCCTAATGAATGGATTTTCACATAGTAAGATGTGCTGTTAATTAATCGAGTGGCTGAAATTATGCATATTAACCCTACATCCTGCAGTTATTTTACATGCAATAATTACACAAAATTTTGTAAGCCTAGCTTAAATATTTATGAAGAAATGGACGTTTTTGTTAAAAAAAACTAATTTTTTTCTCTTACTTTTTTCAAAATTGCTAAAACTTTAAAATTATTAAGAACTGAAACAAAATTTTTCGATCAATTTTAAATTGATTATAAAATTTTTGCTTGAAAAGTTGAAAAAATCATTTAAAACAGCGTAAAATATGAGTTATTAAAGTAGTCCCTTTATACTGACCATGAGCAATAAAAATTTAAAAAATAATTTTCTTAATCTTGTAGTGAATCGTATTTGGCATTTAATGAAAAAAGTCTGATTTGAATATATTAAAAATTTAAAATGTTTCAAGCAATTTTCTAAGTAGTTATCGTACTTTTTAAAAGAATGCTCGAAATAAAAAACGATTTTCAACATAATTTATTTTGCTCGAAATAAAAAGGGGTTTTCCACATAATTTAATCATATACTATTAAACTAGATTTATTAAAAATGACACTGACATTGTCGGGGAACATCCCCCATAAAAGTATTTTTTTTTCCTGTTTTCATTACTTAATAAATAACATTTTGGTATATGAAATTTTATTTTAAGGTATTATTGTATTGTCTGAAGCTCATTTTGACCTGCATTTTTATTTTTTAGCAATCTAGACGCATTATAAAGATAAACTTTTACCGTATGATAATTATTTTTATTTGGAAATATCGCATTTATCATCGTAAGGAAATGCGTTGAGGAAAACCTTTACGTTTTCCCGTTAAAAGATTATCGATTTTACTTTAATTTATTTTTCTTCGTGTTTACATATAAATGTGTGTGTGTGTGTGTGCGTGAGCGTATGTATATTTTGATTTATAGTTTTGAATTTCTAGAATGGTTAGGGGGTCGACAGCCTCGATCTACAAACTATGGTCCCTTAATTTAGGTAGGAAGCAGCTGAAATTATAGGCCACTTAGTGTTAATATCCTTCTTTGCGTATTTCGTTACTTGCCTTGAGCTATTTAAGCAAATTAGTTAATTTTGTGTTAAGATGATTCCATTCAAAATGTAATTTTCCAAAATAATTAATAATTTTTAATTATTCACTCAAATAATGAGAGAACAATTTAGAGATGCAAATCATAAACATGGTAATTTAAAACGACAAAAAACGGTGGAATAGTGCTTGAGAAATTAGAATGTAAAAATACAATGTCTTAAATATTCTATTCCTCAAAAACTATTCAACAGATCCCCTTCAAATTTTGGATTTAAAACTGCATAATTTAAAATGACATAAAAATTTGCCTTCAATTTTTTTCTAATTTTTATTTCATGAAATAATAAATGGTTATGAAAAATTATTTTTTCGTGTAATGATCTTAACGATTCAAATTTTATTATGGTGTGCAAAAATGATTTGATTCGCATTGAAAGTTCCTAAAACACAGTAAGCAATGCAGAAAAAAAATGAAAGTACCATTCTTCTTTCAGCTTTTTTTTTATTACTTTCTAGAAGCATAATGCCATGATTAAGACTCTCAAAAAATGAACTGAAAAAGCTATTAATATTTAAACAAGTGATAACAAGCATTTTCAAATTTTAAATGAATCACTATTAACGATGACGGGTCTAAAAACATCGAAATCTGATCGATTGTTGGAGAGAACAAAAAAGAAGTTTAAGATTAAACTGGTTTTGATGTTCTCATCCTATTTTTCTCGCTGGTGTTTCGATATATTTGATTAGCCTTTTTTATTAATGTATTTATTTTCTTAACTTGCTTACTGAATGACTAAATCGTGACTGAAATTACTAAGAAGAACTCAGTTCTGATTCTACCGAACAGATCGGATAGAAGCATTAAATATATGTATATATATTATGATATATGATTAAATATATTATGAGGCCAAGATTGTTGTTGAAAAGAAACAGTTAAATAAAAACTTCAACTGTAATGAGGTAAAAGCAAAAATAACCCTTCATAAATCAAAGAATAATAGAATAATTTATTTTTTTAATCAGTTGGATGATTCTGTTAACTGTGCTAATACTACTACTAATTGTACTAATGTGTTTACTGTTTGGTCGTATAAATTGGTTTCTCTAGTAATTGAAATTAAAATTAATAGCATGTTAATGTTAGCTCGCAAAAACTTTGTTCCCGATAGAAACTTATTACTTCTTTAGCGAGTGTCTAGCATAAGTGAAATCAAATTAACAAATAGCTAGTAGTAAATGTGCAGATTATCTAGGTCATTAACAAATTACCAAAGTAATTTGAGAAATGAAACCATTTTTGGCACTTTAACGGTGATCTGGTTGATTTGCACATAATCTAGATTATGTGCGAAACTTTTGCGGCAACATGTACCTTTTTCGTGACTTCATATTTGATAAAGAAATCAAAAAATATATAGATTGAATGTTGCTGTTTGGAATGCTACATATATTTTGATGTATAATTATATTAAAATTCTTACTATTTTTAAAGCTGTTTTCATGCAAGTTACTCCTCCCATGCTGTGTCCTACAATTGTGACTTTCTCTGCTGCAATTTGATCTATAAAATGCATGAGATCCACTGCATTTAGATCAAAATTGAATTCATCAGTCCAAGCACTGTCGCCATGGTTTCTGGCATCTATTGCATATACCTGTAAATTTCAACGCATTATTAATTTATTTTGTAAGGAAATATGATATTTTCTTCAATAAAATTACTGAAGCCACTGTGGCTCAGAGGATGGAGTGTTCGTCTCTCGATGAGGTGACCCAGATTCGAATCCTGGTTGATACAAATTCTGCTCCCGGGACGAGGCCGACTACAGTGCAGATTAAAAATATCCTTTGTGGTAAATGGATCATGGGTTAGAATCTCCTCACCGTCGAGTTAATCAAGAGAGGTTTTCGTGATTTTCATCTCAATGTAACGCAAATGCAAGTTAGTTCCATCTAGAAATATTCCACGAAGTTGAGTTCGTATCATCGATCCAGAAGTTCCTTTCTCTTCTGAGTTGGGTATACAAAATTGACATTGTTAGCCGCAAACTCAGAATTGAGTCAGCTGTTATAAAATGAAATAAAATAAAATTATTCAGAATACGATATTACTCAAATATCCAATACATACAGAGCGTTCATTCCTACAAACAATTGAAGGGAAACCAACGGAAAAATTTGCGAAACAAAAGAGCAGATTTTTTTTAAAGCAGTGATTTTGACCTGTTTTGTAAAATATTTTACATAAACCGAAAAGAAATCACCATTTATACAATAAGTCTAATACTACAGCAAATCAATGTTTTTAAGTTTATTAATTCGTTTATTTTGAGCATTAATTTAATGAGATTTCATGTTTAACAACAAAAGTTTAGATAAAAGGTTTTGTAAACTATTAAAAATATCCCACATAAAAATCCGTTAGTGTGGGGTTAATTCAAATTTATCGAACATTGTGTCTTAAACTCATTAAAAAATAGCTCATTGAAGTTTTAGAAGAAGTTTTTGACTGTTCGTGCAAATTTTCTTTCACTAGAAATATACCTTTAGTTCAGTTTGTACAAAATTCCTTGTAAATAAATAATAAATAATGTGAAGTTTCTTACATATCTTGTCATGAATTAGGATATTTTTTCTATGCACACACAGTAGAATATAGCACATGTGTCGATGCACATTTTCCAGATAAAATGCTCGTAAAATGCATAATAAGATTTCGAAGATTACCAAGATCTAATCATGAAAAAAAAAACTAAAAAACTTAACGGTTAAAATCAATTTAAATATTTTTTTAAACGCAAGCTAATTTAAATATTATAAATTTTATTTTTGTACCCTTTGTATCTTTCCTATTTCTAAGATTCGGCCAACTCGAAGTTAAGCACATTGATTTAAGGATCAAATTTCCTCTGACCTGATGTTTTATTTATAACAGAATTCAATGAGGTACCCCTACAGAACTTTCTGATAACACGGAGAATGAACATTTAGGATCGGTGGAAAGGGTGGACGAGACGGGCGATCCCCCGGAGCACCATGTTACAGAGACTCCAAGAGTCAAGTTTAATGTTTTCTAAATTATTAATTTCTTCTTTTTTTAAAATATTGGTTGCTTGAGCCGCCATGGCTCAGGGGATAGAGCGTTCGCCTTCCAATAGGCGAACCGGGTTCGAATCTCAGTACTGGCTGGTCGATACGAATTCCGCGTCTGACTCGCACCGACCACAGTGCTGATGCGATATATCTTCAGTGATAGACGGATTATAGGTTAGAGTCCCCATGCTATCAGGCTAACCGTCGGAGGCTCTCGTGATCTTTCTCTCCATGTAACGCAAATGCGAGTTAGTTCCATCACAAAATCCTCCACGAAGACAAATTTCTACCTATATTTGATCCGGGAGTTTTCATATCTTCTGGATTGGGTTCAAAATTATTGGGTTACGGAGTTGAACATTGGCAGTTGTAAACTCAAATTTGGATCGGCTGTTCAACGACGGATATAAAATAAAAAATAATATATTGGTTGTTTGAAAAATATATTTGCGCTTTTTTTTAAAGTTTTTAATTATAGATTCTCAAATTAACCTTTTTATGGATAAAAATTCTCTATGTAAAAGTTTAATTTAAGGTTCACGACAATTTTATCCTGTGGCAAAAGCAGAAGGAGGAGTGAACTTAGAGAATGGTCATGCGGTCTTTTTCATTTAGTTCTAGATTCATTCTTTTCAATTTAGTGTGGTCCCGCAGTGGACTGATCGTTAAGACACGGTTCCCAGAAGATCACCGAAGTCAAGCATCACTGGGTACGGTCAGTGTGTGGGTGACCATTTGTATCAGTCTGCGTAGGGACCGAGGGTGTGCAGTATTGGTCCTCTCTAAACTGTTCTACCGTAAAGTGCTCGACTTCGCGTGCAGGTCGTCGGGCTACCGAAGCGGGTGTGACATCCCCTATGCAGAGGATCAAAATTGGGATGGCATGTCTTCGGATCATCCTCAGGTGTGTTTCCCAGAAGTCGCCAATAACCCATCGTGAAGCTCTAGTGCGACGTAAATTAACTACAACAGCAACAGTTTAGTGTGTTACGTCATAGAAGCTTTATGAAAATAGACGGGATATATTTTTCTTACATCACTTTACATCAACACTTCACACATCTAAACACCACTTTGGAATTTAAGTAAGCAGCCATTAAGTTTTTTGTCCGACTTTTAATTAGAGATAACGAAATTATTAATGAATATACAGGGTGATTCTAAAAAGATGGGCATAATTTAAGGAAGTGGTAGTACACACCCAAGCAAACACTTTTTATCAAAGAATGCATGGTCGAAAACAAAAAGCAAAGGTGCTGGCGCATTTGGAAAGTTGTTTGATGCAAACGTGTAAGCTTCATTCCTGTTGCGAGTTACTGCGCTGTGTTACTTGTCGCCAAGCTTTCGGCCGCTGCAGGGAAAGTTCGTGATATGCCCTATCTTTTCTTCGCCGTTGTACAGCGTGCATAGCCGCTGCCGGCCACTGTTTTGAACACTTCTTGTAATCACATGCCATTAAATTTGCTTTTATAACATAATTTCATCGTTCTTTGTGTGTTTTTGCCTCATATAAGAACATAAACTTTGACGCCGTCTAGCGGTTTTGCGTTTTGTTTCTTTGCGGTTTTGCGTGTTGCATTCTTTGATAAAAATTGTGTGCTTGGGTGTGTACTGTCACTTCCTGAGATTTTGCCCATCTTTTTAGAATTACCCTGTATAATATATATACTCTGATTATATATATGCGAATGAATAATAATTATATTTATACTAGAGGGACTATTAAGTGTCAGCAAATCTCCTGTTTGCTGACACTTAACAATCCCGACGATTGCTTAGCAATAATTGTTGTTTCTTTGCATGAAACAGTTGAAATTATTCAACTCAAATTATATGTTCTAAAAAGAACACTTGTCCCTCCGTGTCCAAATATTTCCCTCCCCTTTGTCAGGCCCTATTAAGATCTATTAGTGAATATAAATAATTTTTTTAATAACATTTAAATTTAAAAGTGTATTCTAACAACATATTTGGTGAGTTCACAATTGTAATTTAATATTTTTGCTTACCAAATGAACTTATTTATATTTTAAGTAAAATTTTTGAATTCATCACTTTGTGCATGAAGCTGAAAGTTAAAGTTCTAAATCATTTACGGAATATCTTTAACCGTAATTCATAATCGTAATTCATAATAGTAATTCATAATCGGTTAATATGATCAGAAACCGATATAAATAACTTTACCTTAAAATGTAACGTTGTATTACGTCATTCTAACAATAATAATAATAAAAACAATCCTCTTAAACTCGCAATTTGGAAAACAAAATCGAAAACGCAGTATTAACTAATAACAGTACCTTTAAATTAGGGACGCATAAATATTTATGGGAAAACAATAGCTTTAAATGTTATTGAATTTTTTTTGTTGCATAGCATGCAGGCTTTTGAACTTCCGTAAATCTGTATGTGTATATTTGTTTGTATTTTGATTATTTATTTCCTTAGGTAGAAATGCGACTGCATTGAAAATAAAAAATGAACTTACCCTTCTGTGAGTGGCCTCTGCTACTTTCTGTGGAATATCATTCCAGTGTTCTTTGGCAGCGCCAAGACCATGCAAAAATATTATGGGATTATTCTCATTAATATCCTTGCTTGCTTCAAAGACCTTGAAGGCTAATGGAATGGGTTTGCAACTAGAGACAGAAATTAAATTTTATTATGATATATGATCTTGGTTTTATATAGAATATTTTATAATCAACTTCACTAATAAATCTTGTTTTGGATTTTTATTGAAAGCGAATTAAGAATTATATGATTACAGTAAAAAAATAGGGAATCGATAGTAATGCGAGGAAAAAACAATGAACTTCACGAAACCAGAAATTTTGTTATTAAGGAAGCAGAGATTAATACCAGCTTGAATTCAACCTTGAATGCGTTTCGAATAATAAAGTTTGCTTATTTTCGCAGAAATCACACGCGTTTTATTGTTTTTTCCCTTTCCGTAATGGTATATCACCAGGTTTTGACAATTCTATTTTTTCGGTTATATAATTAATTGGATTACTTAATTGATTGCTGGATTCCTTAAAAGTTTGCATTACTTTTCAATTTCTTTTTTGATAAGAGAAAACATAGTTGGGAGGTTGAAAAGTGTGGTGCGGAAGTGGGACTATTACTAGTTCCACCTGCCCTCCTATCGAAATTGTAGTAGTGATGAACACGTGGGCCAGTTTTGACTTCGGATCAACATTAAAAAAAAAAAAATCCCAGAACGTCGTTTATAGCCCATTAGTATAGCAGTAGTGCTGCTTTAACAACCAAACCTTTTTACGATAAGGATTTTAGAAATATTTAGTAAGCAGGAGATTATGGGACATTTCAACTCGGAAACCATTTATACAGGTCAATTGATTTATTTATTTTATTCTTTCCATTTTGTAAATAGACATCACGTACGCATATTTTAAAGTATCGCTTTAAGACGTTTTTTTTACTTAATTTAATTGCTATATTACATGCGATTACAAAACTCTTCAACTTTTTGTGTATTTAAAAAATTATAATTATTAAACAATATTTTTTTTAAACCAGTACTTTGAGTCTTTAACAGAAAAAAAGGTTGAAAGAGCGATAATTTAAAAATATTGAAATTTTTCTGTACCTTCTAAAATTATGAGTTGCAATGCCAATTTGGAAATAATCAATCAATTTTGTTAAAAATTTGCTTTTACGCAGACAAAAAATAAAAATAATTCATATTGTTTCAGATTTTCTTAACAATGGGTGATGTTTAATATAACTAACACTTCAGAAATGCATTGATGTTTTTTTAATGCGATTCATAAGGCTTTTATACAAACATGCATAAAGAACCAAAATTATTTCTTATTGTAATAAGACATGTAATAATAACAATGTGGTGTATAATAATATATAATAACCTATTTCAAGCTCCAATTTGTTTTTGAATCTAAATTTTCTGTTGAGCTCATACGGCCACAGGGTTACTAATGATGGTTAAACTAATGACGGTTTAAAAATAATAATTGTATCTCTTTTGTCGAAATCGCACCTCCTTAGAATTAATATGAGTAAATATGAAATTAGTATTTTAGTAAAACATGTATTAATAACAATGTGGTGCATAATAATATCTTATAACAAATTTCTAAATGTAATTTTTTATTTTATTTATTTGTTTACTTTTTTTAATATGAATTTTTTGTAAGGCCACAGAGCTACTAATGACCGTTTAAAATTGAAGACAAGTTGTCACTTTTTTGTCGAAATTGCATTAGTATTCTATTCTTACAATTTTCAATAAGAATGGAATTATTAAATATTCTAAAGGTTACTTTATTTCACACTTGTTTTTTTAAAATTTTTCTTTATTGTAGAAATAAAGAGTGTAAAATTTAAAATTTTACTCTACTTTAAGAAAGACTTTGAAATAATGCTCCACAATACAATATTAACTGTTTTTTCAATCACTTAAAAAGTCTTTCAAAATATAAGATGTTTTGAAAAAAGTTAATTGTTAAAAGTGTTTCAACCAACTACTAGCCAGGGGAAAAGTTACATAATTTTACTCTATACTCCTTAATAATTTTACCCTTATAATAATTTTATTTTTCAAATATATAGCTCTTTATTCAAAAATTGCTTCTTTTACATTTTTGCAATTCCAAGCACTTCAGCATTTCATGCATTTGTGCCATACCCATAATACAAATTAAATTCATTCTATTAAATCTGTAGGTATAAACTTAAGAGACATTTAACACTATAAATTTCTTTCTTATATGTCTTATATATAGAAATAATTCAATATAGAATAATTATGAATAGAATAATTCAAAATAATTATATATAGAAGTTAAAAAAGACATTACGCATCATCTGTTTAAATGAATTATTACAAAATTTTTTTAATTCATCAGCAGTCGACAATATGAACTTATTTAAGATAATTTTTCCGATATTCAATGATTTTTTAATACAATATTTACAAATTATTTATAATTAAAATGAAAGAATGAAGCATTAAACAATATTATTGATAAAAAAGTATATTTTTACTTACCTTGCCATATTTTAAAGTAACGAAAAAATGCAATTTCTTTAAGACTTTAAGAATTCAGTTTTAATAGTATAATATATTAATATATAATGATTGCTCTGATTCCAAATATATAATGACAAAATATGATGACAAAATATAATGACAAAATATGATTGCTCTGATTCCCTCTAAAGTAAAGAAAAAAACTCCTATCTAGTAGACGAATCATTTGATATCCACACCTACCTCATGGTTTTCACTTTATATTATCAGATAATGATTTTTCCCCCTAAGATAAGATGTCAATCTTCAAACACTGTATTTCTTGTTTTAAGAAAATTGCAAGACACATTGTTTTGAAAGCTGTTTTATATCTAAACTTTATAATCTGAACACAGATCGAAAAGTGTGCTTAAGAAAATAAACATATTTTTTAAGAAAATGAATACAGCAGATTCCGTTTTTCAAACTTCCCCTATGAAATTTTTTTAAGAGATTTAAGCAATTAAATTCACATAAATTTGAAATGCAATGCCGTTCATTAGCCAAAACCAATTAGTATATCCTCTTATTTTTATGCATAAAAAATATAACAAAAAGAGTTTACGCCATAAGTCATGATAAGATAAGGCTATAAATCACAATAAGATAAACAAAATATGAATTATACTGCCAGGGGGCCTATAATTTTAGGTATTCAAACGTGGACCACGAGTTTTAACGAAGTAAAATTACATAATAATTTCGGCTGTTCGATCCTCGCCATCCGCAGACTCCCCGTGAATGGTGACTGGTGCACGCTAAATATGTCGGGTCAAAAAGTCCTCCATGTTCCCACAACAAATCAATACCTCTGGGGGCACTGAATTGAAGATCGATCGTTCTCTGGTACAGGCCAATATTTCGAACTGTGGATGAATAAATAGTGGTATGAATGGTCCGTCCTATAAATGTGCTGTGAAGTGCGTGGCTGAAGTCTTATTCTTGGCCATAGATGGTGCTACTGAAAAACAAGAACAGCATCCTCTGTCTTAAATTCGCTTGGTTTCCCCAAGTAAGCTTGCTGCTTGTCAAGTGGCATTAGATACTATAATTTCAAATGCTAAATTGCACCAAAAGTAGGAACAAACATATTTATATTGTTATATTATATTAATTATTATTTAGAAGAAAAAAAGGTGAAAAACGTTAAAAATACTATTTTAATTAAAAATAATTCGAAACTTTAAAAATTAAATTAATATATGTAAATTTATCCAAATATATCCAGCGTATTACGGCATTAAGTATCATTTTTGAAACTGTTTTGATTATGGCAATCAAGTAAAACAAATAATTATTGAAAGAATCTAACGTGAACCTGCATATTCTTAACTATATTATTTTTAAATATTTAATAAATATAAATTTAAACGCTTAAAACGATCACAAACGATCAAAACGATCACAAACGGTATTGGCAAAACACGTGTCCTAACCTGCCATTAAATGAAAAAAACTCTCTCAAAAAATACATTTTTCAATCAAAGCAGTATATTTTCTACTATCGAGTGAAAATAATATGAAATTTATGTTGGCAGCATTTACTTAAACCGAGCTTCTTTGGAATGATTATTAATCAGAATTTATGCGAACCCGATAAAATTAAACATACTCGTTGAATTTGGTCTATATTTATGAAAAGAAAAGGAACAAAAAACACCCTCATTGAATTAAAGTTATAAGGACTTGCTGAAAGATACTTATTATTAACGCTTTACTTTACCAAATCTTTCTACATGGTACTTTTCAATTAAATGAAATGTTAAGGATGTTTTATAAACAGCCTCTTGTCTTCAACTAATCGCATTTCTATTAATTAATTTTCATAATAATTTCATTTAGTAAAAAAAAAAAACACTACTTTCTGCGTGTTTTCAATAAAAAAAAATCAATTTTCTGGATAAGCAATTAATTTTATCTACAGAATGATGTCGATATCGCAGGAATCTTTTTTTAAATCAATTATCACTTTCAAATTCTCCTATCTGTTGCACTTATAACAGCATGCAAGGACAAATCCGGTTTTTAAAAAAAATAAATTTTGTCAATAAATGGTGTTTTGACATGATATGATTTTTAGTGTTTTGAGAATATGATAACATTATGTAGAAGTAAAAGAAATAAAACTCTATATTCCTTAAAAACAATTCATTTATTACAGAAAATATATGCTACCGACAATATAGGATATGCCGGTATATGTACAATGGCTGTATACAATGTATATGCACTAGCATTTTTAAATAAAGTAGGAAATGTAAGGTATGTTACATATTTTAACTAGGATTTGTGTTCCAAGCCTAAACATTGTACTCAAGCTTATTTAAGTAATTTACAATAAGATTAGAATTTCAGTGAAACAAAAAGCGCATTAGTTGTTTATTTATTTACTCTTTTAAAGAATAACGCTCCTGATTTCATGGCTAAAAAAAACTTTCAACCATGCAAATTATAATCCTGGTAATCTGTTCATAATAGTTTTAAAAAAAAAACATAAAATCTACACCTTATTGTTGCATCACGAAATTACTTTAGACTATTACGAATAGAGCACAATCACACTAATTAAAAGAGTGAAATAATGACGCATCATATATTTCTGGTAACAATTTTCAAAGCATACAAGACCTAATAAAAGCAAGAAATGATTAATAGTTTAATACTTTGAAAGTTTTTTTCGACATTGTATACAATACCAGGTTTGAAATTTTTTTAAATAACATTTATGATAAAAGTAATCATTCTTTTAAGAATTTCAACAAAGCATCAACGAAGGGGTGAGGAGCATCCGAATGAACATCGTGAGTTGCACCATCAATACCAACTAGCTGGGCCTTCGGAAAATGTTTCTTAATTAATTTTGCTTCTCTATTCCTAGAAAAAAGAACAGCAATACAAAAAAGTAAGTAGTATCATTTATCTGTTATATCTTAAATTGAACCTATGGCCTTCAGTTAAACAGGGTTTCGTGAACGATGAGCGTTGCTGGAATCGAACCACTAACAGTATCTTGAACAAATAATGGGTTACAAACTAAGGTAAACAAACAAAAAATATTTATAAATGAATTTATAAATATTTTTTGTGCTCTTAAACGTTGTTTACCTTAGTTTGTATTTTAGCACAAAGATCGCCCACTTGTTTATTTAAATAATGAGTTGCCTTAACCTTAGAAATACAGTGAAACCTCAAGGGAAAGACCATCTCTATGTAGCGATCTCCTCTATTTACGACAACTTTTGAGGTTTGCGCAATTTTTTCCATAGACTTTGCATTGAAGAAACCCTTTAAGAGAGACCATTAAAACCTCTCCCAACGACCGGGCAAACATTTACACTAATTGAGTTCAAATAAGAAAACACGAAAAAATATCAAAACAAAAAATCGTGAGAAAATAAATAAATAGATTAAAATGTATTCAAAATATTTGCGTGAGGCTCTTATCTATATATATATTTCTCTTACACGGCGACAAAAAAAGNATTTATAAATGCACAAAAAATATTTATAAATGCATTTATAAATATTTTTTGTGCTCTTAAACGTTGTTTACCTTAGTTTGTATTTTAGCACAAAGGTGTGTATTTAAATAATTAACACTTGTGTAAAATTAATTTAATTTAATTATTAATTATTAAATTAATTATTAAAATTAATTTAATTATTTGCGTAAAATTAACACTTGTGTATTTAAATAATGGGTTGCCTTAACCTTAGAAATACAGTGAAACCTCAAGGAAAGACCATCTCTATGTAGCGATCTCCTCTATTTGCGACAACTTTTGGGGTTTGGGGAATTTTTTCCACAGACTTTGCATTGAAGAAAATCTTTAAGAGAGACCATTAAAACCTCTCCCAATGACCGGACAAACCATTACACTAATTGAGTTCAGTTAAGGAAATATATCAAAACAAAAAATTGTAACAAAATAAATAAATAGATTAAAATGTATTCAAAATATTTGCGTGGGGTTCTTATTTAGAGAAATCTTTTTGACGATCTCTGAAAGAGGTCTATAACTTCATATTACAGTGAGAGTGCACTAAATACAATGCTATCAATGATTTACTTTTAAAGTTGAAAGTCAAATTAGAATAAAAAGTCATTTTAGAAAAAAACTAAGCATCTGAAACAAACAAATAAACCTCTTCCAGCATTTTAAAGCTACCTAATTTTTATGATATAAAATAAGATGCAAATTTAAGCAAAAAGCATAATTGTTTATATAATTAAAATTGCTCTATTATTCATAATTGGTTAATTTGCTTTGACACATAACTATATCAGAAGGGATCATTTTTATTGACGCCAAATTTTACAATTATTAATAACAAGTGGTATTTCCTCATCATGAATATAATACTAACTAAAATTAAAAACGTTTGAGAAAAATCATTTACTTTCGATAACATTTTGAAGTTAATGGAGGTAACCCCTTAGAACGACCAACCTCTATTAACGACTATTTCTCTGTAATATAGTAATCTCTCCCGAGAGATTTCATTGTACTATAGTGGTATATGAAAATGAAATGAAGATTACTTGAACTTGATACATACTAGTGCCTGAAAGAACGGTAGCAATTGCGGTTTACTTCCGTTCGCTTCAAATATTAGTTAACAATATCAAAAATTCTAATAAAACTTGAAATCCTAGCACGGTTTACTCCTATTAGCAACATTGTATTTTTGAGCGTATTGATGAACAACTAAAATAAATAGTGGTTTGCTTTAAGTTAAAAATTCTTTTTTGCTAGTACTATGTAATAAAGATCACTTTGCATTTTGTTTCAATGTGTGATATTTGGTAACCCATTTTTGCAAATAATGGTAACTTAGTTTATTTCCATTCTCTCCAAAAACTGAGTTATTTATTTCAAAAACACGAACCAACGCATCAAATCCTAGTATTCTTTACTCCTGTCATCAAAATTATATTTTTGTTGGTAAAAGAGCCCATTAATTGTTTAAACAAGTGAAAATTGCGTGATATTTCATATTCAAATCACACGTAGTGTATTTAAATTATGCTTAAAGGAGCATCTGTCAGGAATCATTAACTCCAATACCCACTTATGACCAAACCCTGTTGAACAGATGGTCAGAGGTTCAATTTTTTCACCCAATATTGTTCACAAATTCCCGTTACATATTGACTTAGATTTTTCGATAGAAATCGATAGAAAATTATCTCCTTGCCGCTGCTTATTCATGGAATATTTGGGATTCATTTAGTGTTTCTTTAACACTTGAGCTGTGAGTTTTTAAGATTTTGACTCCAGTTACTCTATATCTCAATTTGCACTATCTTTACTTTTGCCATTCCTCTTAATTTATTCTTCTGATGAATATGGACCATGTGATACCGTCACGTGTCAAGATTTCAGTAAATTTACTATTAAAGGTCCAGAAAGTAATTTTCCCCCCTAGTTTTACATTGAATTTAAGTAGATAATTTTAACAAAAAAAAATTATGTTTAATCAATGATATAATAAATATCGTCATCAAAGACATTTTGCCGACTATCAAGATATCTTAATGTATTGCCGGATTGATGAAAATCATTTTATATTTCAGAGAAATATCTGGAGGTGATTCTGGAATTTCCTTCAAGCTTTTAAATTTATAGCAGCTTCCAGAGAGCAGTATTGATCGAAATATATGGAAACATGATGGCGCAATATCGTACGAGTACAGAGACTGCGGCGACATCTTATATATGTTACCGGCAAAGTATGAAACGCCGGAAGTGTATAGAACGCCTAGGCATTATATAGAATGCCGGATGTTTTTAGGCAAAGTATGAAATGTGAGAAGCATTACATACTTTCCCTAGGCATTGTATAAAATGCCTAAGCATTCTATAGAATTCCAAATGCTATTTAGGCGAAGTATGAAATAAACGTCCTGATGAGGTTATTATGAAAATGATGTGCATGTTACTGTGAATGACCGAAATCGGTGGTTGTTGACTTTCACCGGTGAATGTTGACAATCATAGAGTCGCTTTAGTGAATGTCCGAAATATTTATTACATCCGATTTGATATTAATTTATTCGTGGAAATAATTACACTTATTCGATATTTTAATACTTACTGACGATAAATTACAGGAAACATCAGTGTTTGGAGAATCGGGCAAATGTATACCGGGCAATGGCACTTGATCTTAAAAAACATCAGTATTGGGTATACCGGGAAATGGCACTTGACCTTAAAAAACATCAGTGTAGGGTATACCGGGCAAATATATACCGGGCAATGGCACTTGATCTTTAAAAAGCATCAGTGTAGGATATACCGGGCAAATGTATACTGGGCAGTGGCACTTAACTAGACTCAGTATGACTTGACCTTTGGTAAATGTCCGAAATATATACTAGGTCTAGTGCCATTGCCCGGTATACCCTGCACTGATGCTTTTTTTAAGGTTCAGTGCTACTGCCCGGTATAAACCACACTGATATTTTTTTAAGGTCAAGTATCATTGCCCGGTATATATTTGCCTGATACTCCAAACACTGATGTTTCTTCTAATCTATCGTCAGTAAGTATTAAAATATGGAATAAATATAAAGTTATCAAATAAATATAATANCCTGGGGTCTTCTATTGTGGTTGAAAATAGTTTTTATTTCATTCGCTTTCTTTAAAATGAGTTAGAATGGAAGACTTTCTTTCGAATTTTCTTATGTTTCTTATTATTATTTCTTCTTAATTTTGGCAATAACAACTTATCAAAACATTTTAGGATAAATATATTTAATTAGTTAGTAATAATATATATATATATATATATATATATATACCAACTAATTTTGTTTTAATAATTAGGGTATGCATGCATGTTTAACTTACTGTTCTTACTGCATTGTACTGTAATGTAAAATACAGGTATGTACTTGATTGCAAAAATAACTGCTATGTTATTATAAGCTTTAGAGCAATTGATCACCAAACATGACGTCAACTACTTTATATCAAACGGATCAAAATGGAACACCCACCAAGACACGTAGCTAAGTACACTCCTTGATGTATGAATACACCAAGAATTGCCTCTAGTATTTCTTTACATTAGATTTGGTGTCAAATAGTTGCCAACATTTTAAGATACCATGAAATTTTGTTGTGTACAAAGTAATTAATGCTTAGAAATTACAGGAACATTACTTACAAGTTAAACATTGATTTCTTTCCATAGATAAAGTACGAAGGACCATCAAACACACCTTCATATTTTGACACTAGAGTGTCCACATTTTCCAAAGCTTTCCTCAATACTTTTAAATTTGACGAATAGCTGAAACTACCATCCGAATTTTGCTTCAGATATTTCGAGTTTTTGTCCTCTGAGTTTTTAACGAGTGATTTCTGAAAATAATAAAAAATTCCTCACTTTAGTTTAAAGCTATAAGGGGCTGAAAAGTATGCTTTCACACACACACACGCACACACACACACACACACACACGCACACGCTCACGCACACGCTCACACACACACACACACACATATATATATATATAAAATTTAACAATTAATAAAAATTTAAAATTATATAGAGAAATAATATGTGGAAAAAGTTTAATTGAAGAATAATCCTATAAAACCAAATTTTGAAAATAAGTATCAATTAGAAATTTGTCCGTTAGTCTGCCAGTCACTTTTTTCGCATCTATTTGAATTTTATCATTAGCATAATTTTAATAAAAATGGTATTATGATGAACATTTTATAATATACCGAAAATAACTTTTTCTCACGTTTGTTTCTGAAAAGTTCTTTTTAATTTAGAAATGAAATTTGTTATATATTTTGGGAAGAGCTTGAAAAAAAAATTTATAATATTTGTCAGCAATGTATATCTGCAATTTCCTTAATCGTTTGTGAAAAAGATGGTCACTGCGAAATATTTAAAATCGCCGCAGCAAGCAGTGAAATTTCGTAATTTTTTCATCAACACAGCTACTTTTGTGTTGGAAGTATTGTCAGTATTGTAGGTTATATCACTCGCGAAATGCCCCAGCCATATGTCTTTGAAAAGAGAGCACAAAATGTTTACACATTTTGCAGAAATATGGACAACAAAGGCCATTTGCGAACCCAGATCTAAATATGCGATTAAACATCGCAGAAAAACGGGTATTAAACCATGGCCGAGAAAAGAGCAGATTGCGCAGTTGAAAAGACGGAAAAATGCCTACTCGCTGAAATTTTGCTACTTCTACGTTGCTCGAGTTAATCTTGGGATACTCTATCTGATGGTTAATAGTTCATTTCAGTTATATAAGTAGAAAAGAATAATAAACTTACTATAGCATCTGGAATTCGTTCATACACAAAATCACTAAGAAATTTGGTAGCCTCTTGTTTTGTAGAAACTTTAGGCATATTCAAGAGAGCTTGTTCGTGTAATGAAAATACCATACTTATAAACCTTAAAATATTTTTATGTACTAAAACACCAACATCTTCGATAATTATTTTATCAACTTTTGGGGCCTNAATGAAAATGGTATTATGATGAACATTTTAAAATATACCGAAATACTTCCCATAACAATAACTTAGAATAACTTTTTCTCACGTTTGTTTCTGAAAAGTTTTTTTTTAAATTTAGAAATGAAATTTGTTATATATTTTGAGATGAGATTGAAAAGAAATGTATAATATAAGTCAGCAATGTACATCAGCAATTTTCCTAATCGTTTGTGAAAAAGATGGCCACTGCGAAATAACCTGCTAATATAATTTAAAACAGCCGCAGCATGCAGTGAAATGTCGTAATTTTTTCATCAACACAGTCGGAAGTATTACAATATTGTAGGTTATACCACTCGTGAAGTGTCCCAGCCATATGTCTTTGAAAAGAGCACACAAAATGTTTACACATTTTGCAGAAATATGGACAACAAAGGCATTTGCAAACCCAGATCTGAATATGCAATTAAACATCGCAGAAAAGCGGATATTAAACCATGGGCGGGAAAAGAGCAGATTGCGCAGTTGAAAAGACGGGAAAATGCCTACCCGCTGAAATTTTGCTACTTCTACGTTACTCGAGTTAATCTTGGGATACACTATCTGATGGTTAATAGTTCATTTTAGTTATATAAGTTGAAACGAATAGTAACTTACTATAGCATCTGGAATTCGTTCATACACAAAATCACTGAAAAATTTGGTAGCCTCTTGTTTTGTAGAAACTTTAGGCATATTCAAGAGAGCTTGTTCGTGTAATGAAAATAGCATACTTATAAACCTTAAAATATTTTTATGTACTAAAACACCAACATCTTCGATAATTATTTTATCAACTTTTGGGGCCTGAAAAAAATAATATTATAGTGAGATGAAATCTCTTAGAGTCACAAAAAGTTATAGGTTTTTGTAAAAGAAATTTTGATATCAATGTGCAATTTCTAAAGTTTGATGAATGAGAGAGTATGTTAAATTATGAAATAGACATTGTATGTTTCGTTATTAATTAATTTGGGTGCAGCTTTTTTTTAAAGAAAAGGTTCCTTCTTTCAAAGAAGAAAAAAAAATGTAGTAACACAGGCTTTTCTCTCATATATTTTTCAAAAATAAGATCATTCTATTCATCAAAATATAATAAAAATACTTTTAATTGGATCTGAAATCATAGTGCTTTTTTAAAAGCTAAAATGGTCAGTAACCCACAGAGACCTCCATACAAAATAAGCAAAGGTATACTACCATTTTTTCAATTAGGTTTTTAATTTATGGACAACAATATGATAAAAAGTACTCTGTGGCATGGATCATTTCAGTTTTTGAAATTTTTTTGAATTTCCAAATTTAAGGGAAATACCTTTGTAAAATACCAGAAAATCAAGCGATAATCTTGTCAAGATTACTTTGATTGTTATTTGCAGCCTACATTCAGCAAACGTAGCTTAGATAGTTATGAGGAGATATAGATATTTATATAAAAAACTAATTTTTTGGCTTGCGTTTTTTTTTCCCTTTCTTTTTGCTACAATTTCAATCATTTTGATAAATCTAATATGTTCAAAAAAATGCACGTGCAATAAATGCATAAAGTTTTTCAAGAAAGGTTTTAAAATTTGAAAAAAACTCGTTAATAGCTGCGCAAGATGTGAAGTATTTAAAGTAATTTTTTCTATTGCTCACGCACAGAAAATATTTAAAAACTTTTTCTTTATAATAAATTTTTTTCAAAATTATTGTTTTAAAATTTGAAACAAATTCGTCAAGATCTGCCCAAGATATAAAGCATTTAACGTAATTTCTTTATTGCGCATGCGCGGAAAAATAAAACAATTTTTTTTATAAACCATGTGTATTAAAAAAGACAACATATAAATTAACTAAGAAGTTTTTAGTAAATTTATTTATAATAACATACAAGTAACTCAATGATTTTTTTAAGATTAAATATAAATTTTATATTGATTAAATTTTATATAAAATAATTGAGTTATTTTTATGTTGGTACGAATAAATTTACTGAAAACTTCTTTGTTAATTTATATATTTTTGCCATGTGCAAATCCATGGCTAAATTTCTTTGCAAAACGTACAATTCATGTTTCTTTTCTCTTGTTTTCTTAAATCAGTGTTAATTTTCTAAAATCATTAAAATTGTATAATTAAATGTCCACCTTATTAGTCATCCCCTATTCTGCAGTATAATATTATTTCCTTGCGCACATACATTTTCAAGCCAATCCTTGGTAATTTACAATAAAAACGGTTCAGTACTGCAGTAAAAACGCGCTATAAAACAAAAATACCTCTATTTACGCTTATAGCTCAATTTGCGCTTCTGTTTTCATATTTTGTAATCTGGCAATCTTAGTACGAAAATATTTCAAATGATACCCGAAAGATTCCCGTCCATGTAAGTTCATTAGAATTCGCTACTCGCTTTATAGATTTCGTTTTGTGTCTTGTTCTGCCTTCTTCCTTACATGTTGTTTTCTGTTTTTTTACGTGATATTCATTACTCAATGAGCTCGATTTTTTTTTCAAAAATTTCTTTGAGTGTTCCTTACACTATTGTATGGATATTTTGCTTTGGCTATATTTATACAGTACTAGAAAGCACTCCTCCTTTTTGCGGATATGATCGTGTGAGCTGATGATGAGATAATATCTTTATATCCCCGAATTTTCATTTTTACTTTTTAAAAATTTTTTAATGCTATTTTATATTATGTTAATAATTTTTCTTCTTATCTTTTTATTATTCTGCAAATTTTTTCAGGTTCTCGATATTTTGTACTTATTTTATAAGTTCTATTTACTCGCAGCATATGCACAGTGAATAAAACTTATAAATTTTCTTTTTTTTTTAATCCTTTTTGTATTTATTTACTGTGATTGATATATATATATATATATAT